TATATTTTAATAAAATTATATTTTAGTAAGAATTGGACTAATGATAATGAAGAGCCAATATTCCTCAGCTATCTTAAAATATCTGCAGCTTACTTTTTGGTTTGGAAGTAGAGAAAGTCTAGTGTAGGTAGGTTTCCCGTGGTCGACTGTAAGAAGTGTGTGAGGGGGGGATTATATGCATTACACTTCACAGTGCTTTTCTATTCTTTTTTCTGCTTTAAGTAGGGGGCTGTTTCTTCTACAGGAAGAAACTTTTTTATTCAGAATTTACAAGAACAAAGGATTTTTTGGTTTGCTGAGAAGACTTATTTTTGCAAATCATCTTGCTTGGTTATCAGCATTGCATATTAACATAGCAAATATTTCATTGTGGAAATCCAAAAGACACTTGATCAAAAATTTCTGAAAGTTACATAAAATAGAAGAAGTTTCTGGAATTGGGAAAACACAGGACTGGAAACGCTACAGTTGTACAAGAGCTATACAGTGTATGCATGGAATAACTGACAATGTGTGTGTTCAGTAAGTGGTATTTTTTAACAGCCTGGCAAATTGTGCATGCACTTCAAAGTATGTGTGTATAGCTTTGTTCACAAAGAAATATCAGAGTCCTGCCTTTAAAGTCTAATTTTTTTTTAAATTGATGATGCTGAACTCTTAGAAGTGGTATTCAGATTTTTTAGGACATTGGCATATCTGTGTCTGAGATCAAGGTGGAGGTGCTAACTGGAGCAACAATTGCCACTCTTTAATTAAAGTACTGCTGTCTGTGTGTTGGGTGCGTAGGTTGGTTTATACAAATGCAGCTGCACCTCCGTTCTGGATTATAGTGTCTACAAGCCTAGCTTGGCTCTGGTTGAACCGAGGTATTTAATGTACAAAATATTTCTGTGTATTTCAGGGTCATCTTCAGCCATGCCTGGGGTCAGTAATTTAGGACAGTCCAGCTCCAGTAGTCCACGGATGTTTCCTCAGACCCAGAACATGATTCAGATGGGACCTGGACACAGTTCTGTTCCTCCACTCCAGTCGGGCTCCAGTCAGCAGGATCGGGGGGTGACTCAGTATACCAATATGCAAAACATTCAGCGAGGGGGATTGTACAACTTGGCGTCTGGTATGACACAGGTGGTTCCCCAGCATGCAACACAAAGTGCCAATGGACAGCCACCAATGCAGAGACAAGGCAGCTTGGGCCAGGGCGCTGCCGTTCCTGCTGGGTATGGGCAGAGTACCTTAGCAAACTCAAGTATTTCTCAGCAGCACAATAAAGGTGCGCTGAATCCAACCTTATCTAAGCCACAGATGGCAAGAGTACCAGCTGCTATGGGGGCTCAAAATCCATCTTGGCAACACCAAGGTATCCCTAATATTAACAACCAGACACAAGCAAACAGTGGCTTAGGACCATTTACTGCCAGCTCCTCTTTCCACATGCAGCAAACTCATCTAAAGATGGCCAACCAACAGTTTGCCCAAGGAATGCCTCAGGTAAGCCTAAGCACCAGCAGACCGATGACCTCTATGAATGCTGCCGTCTCTGGGCAGATGTTGTCGTCATCTTTAGGCGCGCAGCAGCGGACAAACCCACCCACGCAACAGCAGGTACCCTCACAGCAAGTCTTGCCTGGCATGAACCAGACTGTTCCAGATCTGAATGCTTTCAACCAGAATCCAAATCAGCAAATGCCCAACAGAGGTAATCTGCACTGTAGTCAAGGGTACCCTGTGAGGACAACCAGCCAAGAGCTGCCTTTTGCCTACAGCGGCCAGTCGGGCAGTAATGGACTTCAGAACTTAACTGGTGACACGGATCTGATAGACTCTTTGCTGAAAAACAGGACTTCAGAGGAGTGGATGAATGATTTGGATGAGTTGTTAGGAACTCATTAAAATGGGGCAGGGGGTAGGGGTTCTACTTTTTTAATTATTTCATGAAATATAAAACAACACTTGGACCAAAAAACCTGTGGCATTGAGGAGACTTGCAGGCATTAGAGGTAAATGGTTGGGAAAGGGACTGGAGCTGCTTCTCAATGAGTGTTGATACATGGTAATGGTGCACCAAGCAGGTCTGCAGGAACAGTGCGCTTTATCTTGGTGGCTCTAAGGAGTCGCACACTTGAACAGGTCAAAAAAAATTGTGCGTGTCCTAGCCAGCCTTTCGGAAATCTCACTTGCAGTGTTCTAAAATTAATTTTTTTTTAATTATTTAAAAATAAAACAAAATTCCACAGAAATAGTGCAGAAAGAAAGCAAATAGTTGCACAAATTGTGTTTAGGGCTTAGTCTCCTGCAGCTATTACTTGCAATCATTATTTGTTCATAGCTTGACATGCTATTACAGTACTGTCCATCAAACTTCTGACTTTTTATTTGAGAAGAGGCTGATGCACCTGAGTATGCTTGCAAAATGTTTTGAGTTGTTTCTTTTCCCCATCGCTGAAGCATGTGCCTGTACTCTCAATAAGCAAGTGATATTTCACAGTAAATATTTCTAGATGCTGGTGATAGATGAAAGAAAGTATTAAAACCTGGCCAGTTAGTCTAGGTAGTCGTCTTAATAGATTGTAGTCTTTTAAGCTGCAGTTTGCACTCTGTTGTAGAGAGGCACAGTTCTTGGCTTATACCTTGCTGTGTTTAAAGGGGGAATTTCTTATGGGAGAACTTTTAAACTATAGTAGGTTTAACGTGAATTGTAAAGCCATTTACTTTGCACCTGTTTCTTCATAACTTATTTCCAAAGGTAGTTGTATTTAAATGAAGGCTTTGCTTCATGACAGCTCATCTAGTTTTCTTTGTTGTAAAAAGTAAAACTAACTTTTGAGATCAGTTCATTCCCCAGAGTTAGCAGTGATGCAATGAGCACAAGACTTTGTCACTTCAGGATAAAAATGAGGAAAAAAGAATTTGGCTGAGAGGTGAAAAGTCCTTATCAGCAATAATAGCACAGGCAGCCTGGGAGAACGCTTGTATCAGGGTTGCTCCAATATGGAAGTCTCCCCCTTTAAATACTTCTTTTTAATTACTGGGTTACAAGTTTGATAATCTTCCTATAGACTGGTGGATTTACTTCTTTAATATCCCTTGAAGCAGATGCTGGTTCTTCAGCTCAGCCCAAGGAGACCTCTTATCCATATCTTGGGGTCAGTCCCAGAAAGGACAGAACACACAGTGGGAACAGTCGGTGTTCCAACGTCCTTACTTTCTACCAAAAAAATCCCCTATCCACCAACAAACCACCTTGCCTTAACCTTTATTTTAAAATGAAAATAAAGTTGAAAGCTTTTGTTTTAAATGCACAAATACCTCTTCCCTTTTAAATCCACTTGTTTGGAAAACTTTAAACTTTCTAACCAAACCCAGCATTGTGATTTAAAAGCAATTTCCTTCAACACAGACTGGCTTCTTCAGGAGTTTTCTGCACCGCAGAGATGCGCGAGAGAGGGTTTTTTCCAGAGTGGGTGAAGGGAAGTGAAGGATAACATTGATTTCAAAGAAGGAAAGTATTTTACTGTATCTGCAGCTTCTTTATGAGACAATTTGCACTTTTAAAAACTGCTTTTTAACACTAATACTTTAACCCTTTCCAAATATGCATGGAACATGGTTTGTCCAACACACTTACTTAGTGTGGATGAATTACGCTCTGTTGAACAGACTTGATATTGTGTCATGTTGAACTGTTGGTGAAAGATGTGCATTGATCAGTGGATCCCACCGTTGAATAGTGGATAAAACTTCACTGAAGCAGACTTAATCCCTCGTAGAGCTTGTGAAAAAGATAACATAAAGATTGTCTTTGGATGGGAAGACGAAGGTGTTAGTGACTTTGGTTGTTGACACTTCTGATATTTTCTAGAATAAGTAGTTGAGATGCAAATAACTGATGCTAACTTTTCTTATACTGGCAATCTAAGAAAGAGCTAGTGAGTTTGGTTTACTATTAAGTTAAACCAAAAACTGGTCCAAGGTAAGTGTCATTAGAAGAGTATAGATATAAACTAGCAATGGCAGGGGAAGGAGTGTTTGCTGTATTTTTATTTTTAAGGGTTAACTTTGCACCAGTGTGCCTTCCCTTCCTGTTGGGGGTGCTTGGGACCTCATAATTTCAAGTGACATCCTTCAGTGTCACTATTTTTTTTTTTTTTTACCCCTTACAAACACTTGAGAGAAACAACAGGGTAGCAGGATTCAGCTTTTCTTTCTTCCCTGTTGAGGTTGTGGTGAAATCTGCTACGTTTTCCAGTAGATTTTGCACACAGGCTTTGTTCTGAATAAGTCAAAATACAATCCATCCAGTTGCGATTTCCTAACTGGAGGAGAAGAACATCTGCTGTTTGCATTGTTACTACCAAAAAGGCAATCCAGCTAAATCTCCAGGAAAATGCAGATGTACTCTTTCCTCCGCTGTTTCTGGAAGCTAAGGTGGATATTGCCCTGCTTGACCAGAGGGTTTGTTCAGGAAGGTATCTACATTTGATGACAGGGCCTTTTCATGGTACTGTTGAAGTAAAATGAGGTGTGATTCTAGGCAGACTGGCTTTTAATGCCCATTGGTCTTCATATGTGAACAGGATCCAAACAGCATTTAACCTGGTAGAAAAAACAGCCCTCGCTTCTGGCTTTGGTCCCTGTCCACATAATGCGACCAGACTCTTGGAAATACGGTATCACTGTAACCAAGTTGAAACAGTTCAATGGCAACGAAAATACGGTTTAGATGTACATAGGTGCATGGGTAGGGCTGGGCTTTGCCTTTATGCCCTTTAACATGTAGCTGTCTATATATGCACTTGGGCTTTCCATTTGCTGCAGCTTCAGAGCAATAAAATGTATCTCCCCTGAACTGTACCTAGCCAGCCGCCCATGGCTTTATTTATAAACTGCGGTTTTGGTTGGGTAGGAAAGGTGAGAGTGTCACTGTGCAACATCCACTGCCTTCCAAAAACCACGATTCAATTGAAAAGGGTGCTCAAAATTTTGTTATACACATTTCCTTTGTGTAAATAAATGTTTACAATTTTATATTAAAGATTTGAATAAGAGTTAGATCTTCTGACTGTATATTTTTTACTTTTTATAGATTTTTAAAACTATAATTCTTTATATATGTGTTTGGGGGGTATTATGGTAAGTTTTATGCTTGTAAATGGAGAACAGTTGAATTTGATGCTAACCTTTATGAATTTTTGTCATTGAAATGTATAAAGAGTCCATTAATCCCCTTATTCTTTTACTACAATTACTGGTGCACACCAAAAAGAAATCCTTCACTTCTGTTTTATCATTATAAAATAAATATTTTGCTAGTGTATTAAACATACATGGTGTGACTTGATACATTTGTGTGAGCTGAGCAGAGTTCAGCATTGTTGTTCCTAGTGAGATGGTTCCCTTCATCCCAACACACAGCTTTGGTCAGGCTCTTACTAAGGCTCAGATTCTTCTGCTGTGTCTTAGGGTTTCCGAAAGTCCATTTCAACAGGCCAGAACTGGATAAAGAGGCCTTAGAAAACTTTCCTTTGAAAACAAGGCTTTGTGCTACACCCACGGCTTCTGGACTTTTTTTTTCTTTTTTTTTTTCCAATGCAGTTGTAGGCCTTAAGCTAGGAAATAAGACTGCAGAGGTTGTTGTTACTAGGGAAAAAGATGTCAATAACTACCGAGACCTCACATGTGCAAAATTGTAGAGTTCCAAAAAATATGCTCAGATTCCCTCAAAATAACAGGCCTTAGAGGTTCAAATTGGTTTCCTTGAGACTTGTAAAAGGACAAAGATTATGTTTGTTTGATGTAGGCAGATTGCACAAAAAAAAAAACCCCGAAATGAGGAACACGTACGGGAAGCATGAGTTACTGTTTCTGAACATGGAACAAAATACTGGCAGCAAGTTACATGAAGATTTTGGCTTAGAGGTGGTAAGGTCCCTAAGGCACTGCCGAGAGCCGGGGGGTTGAAGAGGCTGTGGAAAATAATGGCAAAAGAGGTCTTTCAGCCCCTGCTGGGTTGTTGAGCCTCTTGAGATGGACGCTTACGTGGATGTTGGTTAGAAGAGAAGTAAAGCAAGGATCTGTGGCTCCATCAGCGCCCAAAGCAGCCCAGCTTTAGTGAGGTGTGTTTGGATGTTAATAAGTTCTTGTTAACAAGCTATTACTTGAGGAATTACTCTGAATCAAACATTTCAAAGCAGTTCTCTTAGCGAATCATACCACTTGCAGCAGACCCAAGAATTCAGTTATTTATGTAGTGTTTCCTGTTTGCCAAGTACACTTTTAACTGATGATATCTAGCCTTAAGTTCTAAACTAACGTCTCAGATCTCTCCAACCACAGATTTAGCAGTAGCGATAAAGAAGAATTTGCAAAGTGTGACACATGCGTTTCTTGTTAAGGCTGTATTTGTTTTACATGCTACTGTAATTTCATGCATCCCCCTGTGTAATAAGAATTTTAATCGGCTTCAAATGTTGAAGGATCATTCTCCAAGCATTGAAGTTGGTGTCTCGTTATATATCAAAAATGTCTTTTGAGCCCCAGCTCAAGCCTTCAGATTTCCTGACAGAGTGCATCCTGACTTAACCTGAGTATATTTCGATTATATTCCTACTCTGCAAGTTTTGAGTTGTGTTTGGGGGAAGGAGGGGACCTGTAACTTCAGAAGCTTATAAAGAACCAAATGTAATATAAGTAACAATACCAGGATGAGCTGCTTCTAGCCTGTGGGGAGCTGTGAAGTTACTACTTCATTAACTTTTGCTTTACCGCCCCATTAAAACTGCTGCATTGTATTTAATGTTGAGTAAACCAGAAAATTCCTAAACTGTTCCCTGTTGAAGTGACGTGCACATGCGTGTTTTTCCAAAGATTTTAGGGAGTCAGTGGCAGCTTGT